GGAAAAGATTTATAGGAGGTAGCCCTTGTGAAAGATAAAAGGCAGAGGAAGAAGGAGAAGGCAAGAAGAATCTTCAGACCTCAGTTCAGGTCAGATACCTGTTAAAGAGAAGGGGAAGAAAGGAGAAGTGGATAGAATGAGCTTCAGACTGTGGTGCAGCTCCAAGAAGAGTGCTCACAGAAGAATCCTGCGTAGGTACAAGGGAGAGCTCTTGTGCCACTCCTGTGTTCAGTCATTGGTTGGGGGATGTCCAGGTAGCACTTAGTTTCAGCTTGAATACTCAGTCAGATTCTGAAGGCACCCACAGCCACAGATTAGCAGCAGTTTATTTCTTGAAAGTAGATCTCAATGTGGGCACTCCCGCAACTGCTATAGCTGGGCAAAGCGAAGCAGCTTATCAAAGAAAGCTAAGTGCCTAGCAGTAGACGTGAGAGGGTAGATCTAGCCAATGGATTTATGCCATGCGACAAGGATGTGGATACAGATTCATGCATCCATAGACCCACCCACCCATCCACCCATCCACCCATCCACCCATCCACCCACCTATTGCCTTAGATGACAGCAGCAATCTCTGAAACTCCTGTCCGAACAAGAACCTATGCTTGGTGCTGCCTCAGAAACTAAATCTAGAGTTTGCCACTTCTGCTACCACAGCCACGACCTCTGAGTGACAACTAGCCTGTATCTCCACCTAGTCTGCCTCCATCCCTTCTTGTGACTGTAAGTTAACTTACCATACATCTGAGACCAAGTCCTTTACTAAACCCTAATTTCTGCCAGTCTGACACACCTCTTTCTTGAGTCCTAATGGTACTTTGCTCCACTGTACAGACTATAATTTAAGTTACAGCCCTTTGACTCAGTGTTGCAGGCATAAAAGGTGCATGGCAAGTGATGAGGTTCACTGCCATGTCCTTGGGTTCAGGGTCAACGAGAACAACTAAGGAGCAGCAGAGGTGGTAAGATGGCTTGGCTGTATGCCTTCCAGTTCTCAAGTCCCTGAAGCTGTTTACCTTCAAAATGACCCTGGCCTTTGATTATAATATTTCATAGCAGCCTCTCTCCAACTAATATGGCAACCAGCCATGAGAAATCATGGGCATCATTTTGAGAGCACATTATTTTGGAGGATAAAGATGGTAGGATTTTCTAGGGCTTGGCCAGTAATAAAAACAGGTTGATTTTTTAAACAAATGTTCCTGCCAGTTAGAATTTAATCTTCCTCTAAATCAGCAGTCTCTAAGGTCCTTTCCATTTCTTTCACTCTATTACTTATTCTATCAAAGAACATGGATCTCACGATAATAGGAACCAATTCGCCCCTTTTTCTTCCTAGAACAATGTTTACATTTTGGCAGGCCTTCTCTCACGTGGTTTAAAGAACCACATGTGTTTGCAGGCTTTCTATCAAGCAGTTTAGAGAACATAAAACTTACAGTAATATTTTTGGGAAGTAAATTTTATTGTTATGGCTTTAAAACACAATCAAATAAAAACTACAATTCCATTAGTAGTTGAATATTATAATAATAGAGTTGAGAATAAATTTTACTGCTATAAGAACTATAAAACAGCAATAATAAAAAACACTATTATTGTGAATAAATTGTGTTGAGATGACTAACTAGAAAGCTATAAAACACAACAATAAGAGATAATCTAATCACCAGAAAAGATGTGATAATAATTGACCCTTGTTAGTGAGGAGACCACGGCTGCAGTTCATTGGCCCTGAGCGCTCTAGGTTACTGCCTGCATTCCATAAGGTTGCAGAAAGATAATCTTTGGCAGGAGACCACATATTACAGTGAAACCGGACATGGGGAATTGAGGAAAATCCAATTATCAGTGACTGTTAGGAAAGTCCTGTATAGTACTGCCAAATGTCCTCACAACATATTCTTAAAAATTATTTGCAGGTTTCCACTAACAATTTGTATGTATTATTTGACTGTGCATTTCATGCACTTCTTATTTTTATTTATGTTTTTTTTCTTCAGAATAACTTCATGGGATTACATATCTGTTGAGGAGAAAAGCCTATTTAATCTTACTCTTTATTTAAACTACCCATGCATCCCCGAGTCCATCTGGGTCCCATTCTAATTAGCAGAAGCATGGAAAGAAAACACTCTTGTTTACTATGTTTCTCTCTCCCTCTGTGGAACTCACAGCTCCATGAAAACCCTTGCTTCAGAGTTAGGACTACCCAGGTGGCTGCCCTGTCCCTGCATTTGGGTGAGGGAAAAAATACCATGGGTGTTGCATTTTACCCCTCATTCTGAACACCATCAAAATTATCCAAGATTTCCAAATTGATGATATCCCCAGGGGATGAAGGAAGATCATTAACAATGAAGTTTCCACTAGGCAATGGAGGCATGCTGTTGGAATTTTCTATACTTCCTACCTTCACTCTCTGCCCTTTCCTTCTTTAACCAACTCCAGTTGACTTTTGTCCCTATCACATGCCACGTGCTGACTGAACTTGCTCTTTTGAAGGTCTCCATGAGCCTCTATCCTGCTGGATAAGATTGCTAGTTCTCGGTTGTCATCTGACTCGACCCCTTAGCAGCATTTGGCCCAGTGGGTAACTCTCATTTTCTTAAAATGCTTTTCTCACTTGGCTTCTGGGACACAACAGTCTCTCAGTTTTTGACCTACCTCACTGGCTGTTCTTTCTTAACTTCCGTTGCTGGATTCTTCTCTTCTACCAAGATCTCTAAATGTTAGACTGACTGACGCCTCAGTCTTTGTTCTTCTCTTCTCAGTCTATACTTGGACTGTAGAAGGGCTCCTCCGTGTGGCTTCAAACACCACCTCTTACAACCTGAAGAGTCACAAATGTATGCACTTCGCTCCATCTTCCCTTTGAAGTCCAGCCTGCAGTAGCTGCTGCCCACTTAGCAATCTCTTGGATGTCTAAGAAGCATCTCAAAATTATCAGCTCTGAATCGAAGTCTTGACTTTCCATTCCCTCCTCCTTCTACCACTCCTCCTTTGATTTCCCCCATCTCATAAAAAGTCATCACTATTCAGTCCATTTCTTGGCTCCCCAATCTAGGAGTTGTTCTTGACTTCCCTAATTCCCTCACATTTCATATTCATTCCATAAGCATATTTGTCAGGTCTGCTTCTAAAATAAATTCCCAGTGTGACCATGGCTTTCCATGTAACCCGTGACATCTAGCCCGAGGCCCCATCATCTCTCCCCCGGAATGCTCTGGTACCCTCCCTGTTGGTCTTTCTGTCTTCATTCTTGTCCCTCTCTTGCCTACACTCTAAGCAGCAGCCAGAGGAATCTTTTAAAATATCAAAACAAAACCTGTTCAATGATTTCTTAGAATAAAATGCAAAGTCCATACTCTGACCCATGGTTTCTACAAGATCTGGCCCTTGCCTATTTCTTTGACCTCATCTTCCATCACTTTCCCTTGCTCCCACTTCACTTAAACACTGGTTTTCTTCCAGTTCCTCAGTCACACCAAGCTCATTTCTTCCCTACACACGTGGCCCTCTTTACCTAAAACACATTTTCTACAGACCTTTGCATGAACCACATCATTTAGAACTTAACTCAAAAACTGTCTTACGTTGGGACTTCCCTGGTGGCGCAGTGGTTGAGAATCCGCCTGCCAACGCAGGGAACACGGGTTCAAGCCCTGGTCCGGGAAGATCCCACATGCTGGGGAACAAATAAGCCCGTGTGCCACAACTACCGAGTCTGTGTTCTAGAGCCTGCGAGCCACAACTACTGAGCCCGCGTGCCACCACTACTGAAGCTGGCATGCCTAGAGCCCCCGTGCTCCTCAACAAAGAGAAGCCACCGCAATGAGAAGCCTGCGCACTGCAATGAAGAGTAGTCCCCACTTGCCACAACTAGAGAAAGCCCAGGCCCAGCAATGAAAACCCAATGCAGCCTAAATAAATAAATTTATGAAAAAACAATTTTCTTACATCAGTCAGGAATGGCCTCTCTATCTCAATATATTCTTGGCCCATATCTCTCCTTAATTTGATTCCCTTTACTTAAAATTGTATTATTTGTTTGTGAACTTGTTTATTCTTCTCTCAACTCTCCTGTGAATTCCATAAAGGAACTCATTCATTTTGTATTGATATTTTGTCATAGTGCCTGCCTGGTATATAGTGAGTACTCATTACATTTTTGTAGAATGAATGAATAGATGAATGATCATAGAGGGCAAAGGATTTAGATAGATCCCCAAATGCTACGAACTCTATTTAAATCCTCTACTTCTCTGCACTAAAGTTTGCCTTGCTCAATTAGACTTTTAACAGTGATCTTCACTTGAGCCTTTATTTTACTGGTCACTGTTTGAGATTCAAGGCATATCCTGGGTTTGTCTAAAAACAGGGGTTTGTGGAGCAGTGTCTGACAGAGTCCTTTATGTGAGAGGAATGTGTGAGGAAATCCACTTGGGAAAGGATTTAAAATATTTTCACTGCTCAGATATGGAGAGACCTGGGTTTGTTTAAGAATCTGGTGATGTTGTCCATCAGAACAAGAGAAGGCATTTGACCCTAAATAAAGCCTTAGATTGCAGAAGGGAGTAAAGATCCTTCATAATAACCATGCCCACCATGACCAGAGCAGAAGACACATCCCCTATTATACCCAGCGACCTGTGTGGAGGACAGAGCAGGAGTGGTCCGCTCTTGAATATAGGTGATGGGGATTCCTAGAACTGAAGATTTTACATAGGGAAGAAACATTTTTCTGGATTTGGGGGAGCCAAGAGCTTCAGTTAATTTGGTTTTAGCGGATAAAAAAAATCAAATAGTTTTCCACTATTAAAAAAAGTTGTTTGAAGACATGATGGAGTTAATGAAGCAACTGCTCACATTATTTCTGCTGAGACATCCACTAACTGATTTATCTCATCTTGATTGTGGAAGCCTATGCCCTTATGCATTCTCAGAGACACATGACCTGCAGGAGAAGCACAGGATTTTCTAGCTCTCTTTGCAGAAGAATGAAGCCTCTGCTTGGAAACTTGTACCTCCCGAGGTTGCTGGTTCCTGCGGAGCTGGAATATGATAGGTGAGTGTGAAGCTGGAGGAGGGGCTGACTGGTATGATTTAGATTGTCTAGGTGGAAAACTTCTTTTCAAGATCAATGCAGCTCGATTCTCCCCTCTTCCTACCCATACACACCACGACGAGATAAGAATAATAATCACTGAAGTTTTATCATTGAACATTACTCTAATAATCTTTAAATAAATGAGTAGATATCTAAAAAAGATTTCCTAGCACAATGTATGATAAATACCAATAAATATGTCATGTTTTGTAATTGAAAAAAGAAAATTGTAATGAAAATTCCATATCCCTCATTTACATAGTTTCTCAATTGGTAAATCACACTATTCTAATTATTGAGAAAATGTTTAAAATGTTTAAAACTACCAAACAATTTCACTAAGACATAATTACTGTTAATGTTTTTGAATAGATAACTACTTAGCTAATTATGTATATAGTACTATTACAAGAATTTTTCAGTTAAGTTGTATTATAAAAATTTTCCTATGACATTCATAATTTATTGAAAACATAATGCAATCACTAATAATATTCCATCATTGCTACCCTATAAGGCAGAGTTGATTTCTACTGTCATTTTTACACATGATACCATGATGAGGATCCAGCTACATGGCAATTTTTTTGCTGTTATTGAAAATCTTTGATTATTTCCCTAATATAAGTTATAAGAAGTGGAAGCACTGGGTTAGAAGCTTAGAAAAATTCAAGAATCTTGCTACACGTTGCCAAATTGCCCTCTAAAAAAGTTGCATATGTTTACACTTCTAACAATAGTGTATGAAAGCACTTTTTAAGCATTTGCCCATTTGACAGGTGAAAAATACCTACAGTTGACTTATTTTTCATTTTGTTGATTTCTTATAAGGCTAAGTGTTTTGTCTTATTTGTTACTCATTTTACTGGTTTATAAGTTGCTCCTGTCATTTGCTCTTTTTTGTGTTCTTTCCCTATTCATAATGAATAACTTCTTTGAATATATATTAAACATTGTGTGTGTGTGTGTGTGTGTGTGGTTTCCATATAAAGTGTATTTTCCTTTATTCATACATAGTTTGTTATTCTGCACATTTGGTGTATCTCATCTGGCATGTGTGTTTATAAACAGTATTTCCTCTTTTGTTTCATGGTTAAACGAATCTTGCAACAAGCTTGGTCTCACGGAATAGAGAAATCCACTCCAATTTTTGCCCCAGACTAACTGTGCGACCTCAGCCTGTCCCTTAGCTTCATAGACAGTCTGATTTCAGATATATAAAGGGAGTCCAGGATCTATGTGATGCCTAAAGCTGTTTGGACATCGCCATCTCGCGTTTTCTATTAGTTTACTTGGTTTCATATAGATACTGCATTTATTTTCTCTTCTGAGATTCTTCATAGATCAATGGCAAAGACTTATGTAGGTCATAGGACTTTGACTGAAAAAAAAATTAACTTATTTAAAAATATCACAAGCCTTAAAACGTACACATCCTTGGGCCTAGTATCCCTGCTTCTGGAAATTTACACTGAGAAAGCAAACTATGGAAGGAATTGTATGCACTGGGATATAGCTTTATGTACAAGATAAACAAGATATTAAATATTGTAATATTTGGAAACAACCTAAATGCCCCATATTAAGTTATGCAAATGTCAATATGTGACATATGACAATGGGATATTATTTATCCATTAGAATAATAATTATGAAAATTTTAATAGCATGGGGAAAGACATGTTTTATGCTGAAAGATGCAGAACACAAAATGTATCAAAATACTTAAAAAAATAAAAGAAAAAATATGTACCAAAATGGACATTGTTCTCTTTGATTGATATTTTTTTTTCCTTTCCCTCAACTATTCTTCATTTTACAAATATTCTACAAAGAAGATGCATAAAACTTTTGTTTAAAAAAATGATTGCCAAGCCCAGGTTAAATTATGGAAGTGATTTGGCTCAGTGGGACTCAGACAAGATGGCTTCCAGTGGACAGCTGCTCATGACTGCACTTGAGGGTAACATTTCAAATCTGCTAATTCTGCTCCTTATTGACTATTTTCATTTTCATTATTATTTACTGATATAAAATAATGTCCACTTTTATATGGCTCTTACCAACTCAAAACATAGATTAGCTGCAAGTTTTGACACTCTTTATTTACTATGTGTGACGTAATACTAGTCTAGAAAATCTAACAAGGATGACAAGCTTTGTAATCTCTCCTTTGATCATTTAGGGAGGTGGCCTGTTATATACATTGCATACTCCCAATAAAAGTGTAAATCTGTAGAATCATTTAGGATCTAGCACTATGAATCAAATGCTTTGAAATTGTTCATCCTCTCTGACCTACTAGTCCCATTCCTGGAATGTAACTCAAGGAAATAATCAGAAATGAGCAAAAAAATCATTAACTCCAGAATTATTTACTGTAAGATAAAACCAGAAAGGGAAATGGCTTTAATATCCAGCATAGCTGACAATATTTATGTGCATGATGCTATTAAATATATACTTACTGTCAAACATTATGCAGTCATTAAAAATAATGTTTATAAAGAGTTTTTATTGGTTTGAGAAAATGTCTCTGGTAGAATATATAATAAAAAAGGAGGGAATACAAAATTATATATAGGTATAATCTGCACTGTATTTATGAAAAAAATATGCACAGATAACAGACTGAAAGGAAATATGCCAAAATATCAACAATGGTTAACTCAGGGAGGTGGGATTGTAGAGGATTATTCCTTCCTTCTCTTTTTTATTTTTCTCCTCTCCATACTTCCTAAAATTTCCACTTATAAGCATATGTTAATTTTGTAAGAAGGAAAAAAAAAACTTTGAAAATACATTACTATCATGAAATATTCATGTAACTGTTTCCTAAGTATTTAAAATACAAAATTTTCCTCAATATTCATTAGGTCTTTTTGCCTCTTTTTACATTCCAGTCAAAATTTCATCAGGCAATCTTTGATGTACAGTATTTATTAATAATGTACCACCAAAGCATCTTTTTCTCTGTTAAACATTTTATGAATTCCTGTTAAAAAAGAATACACAAAGTACAATAATCTCTTCATTTGGTCGGTGAGATGAGACTGGTGGTAATTTGGGGGATTAGCCAGTTTTTTCCTTCTTTCTCTACATGTATTATGCATCACCCAAGTAATTGCCTAGAAACAGGGAACAGCCTTTTCTAGGTTTACGGTTTAAACATTGTTTGAACTAAGTATCTGGGGTTTTGAGGTTTAAGTATTGTGTTTAATTTCATGTTAAAATGATATCAGGGTTTTCACTCAAATCCCGTACGCATCACTTTTTTTTTGCATATTATATGGACCCAGTCATTCAGTGCTGGACTTAGGAGGCATCATACTCACACATTTTGCAGACATTAGCTGGGGGAAAGCCAAATGTTGGTGCTTGATGGTGCCCAGTTACCTTTAATTTATTCCCCTCCATATTGTGAAATTGCCTGGGAATACCAGCCCAATTGAAACAAGAATCCACCAGCTGCCAGGACTGCTTTTTAGTGTAGTCACTTTCCTACGGCACTGAGTAGATGACGGTGATAAAGAAAGACTTGAACATTTGCTGAACTATGTGAAGAAATGAACCGCGTCGCTCTGAGCAGCCACCATCCCTGGTCCCAATATCGCGTGAAAGCATCCCCAGTGATCTCATTTCCTGGCAGGACAGCCAGTGTGAGGAATGAGAAAGAAGGAAGGGCTGAGAAGACTCTTCTCATTTGCTTCATTTCCTCTCCTCTCTCCATTTTGAAAAAGCACTGAAACTATTTCCCGATGAATTTATAATGCTGATACTTATTTTGCTTTCTATGCAGTCCAAATCAGAGATAGACAATTTATAAAAATAGGCTAATAAATATTTTATGCTTATTTTCTAGAGTATAGTAAAAGTATAATTTAGCCTCTGTAACAAAATCTTCACCCCAACACACTGGGATAATAGCTTCTACCTTAAGGATTGTTGTTAGAATTATATGTAGGAATATATATATATATATATATATATATATATATATATATATATATGATATGATATATATACCTTAGAACAGTTCTGGCATGCATAATTGCTTATAAAATGTTGGTTGTTATTATTACTGGCTATACTTCAGTTTGGAATTCTCCCTCTCCTGTCCTCAGTACATTTAGTGCACCGTGTAATTGGTAATCAGGCTCTAGCTTATCATACCTCACATTTTATTATTTGATGGTGAAGTTATTTTGCTTTCCATGTGTTTATGTCTCACTTCCTTAAGTGGATTTTAAGCTCTGTAAGAAAGAAATCTATGTTCTATTACTACTACTATTATCTATTATCACTTTTGCAAAGAGTACCAAGTGCCGTTGTGTTGTTGAATGAATTACGATAACAATGCAAATGCTTTGACTGGTGCTTAGAATATAGTGCCCAATAATGGTTAACTAGTGTTATTATAATAGGTATATGTTTGCTGATTATTTGATAAGCACACGAAATGTACTCCTGAAAATTTATGTGTAAATTGAATTTTTTTGAATTTTAAACACACCAAGGGATGTATGTATTTTCCTTATAAAATGATGTTTTGTAAATAATCAGCCTCAACATATTACACCTGTATATATTTTTATATTGAAATTCCTCATTCTGAAGCACTCTAGCTTACCTTTAAAAAATCAAATAAATGATAAATATTAGAAACGAATCCCTGAAAAACATGGAAAAGCATATTGCTCCTCAACTATTACAATTTTAATGACATTTGTTTCTTGTAATCTCCTTCTAAAATTCATTTCATTGTTTTAACTAACTATCTAGACAATCCTATATCATGAGCTTTTCGTGGACAAGCTAAACAAAGTAAAATTCATTTAACAATAAAACATTTACAGTTTTGAAGATAAAAACTTCTGCTAAAGTCAGATTATTAGTAGTAGTAGTAGTAACAATTAAAGTCATGGAATTTTGTAGAGAAATTGATTTCCATTAGAGTGGGTGATTATGGTACATGGTGTTAATTGAACAGATTAAAAAATTAAAATGTAGTCAATCCAGTTACTGGAGTTATGTAGATGTGAATAGAACTTGAGTTTTAATTAATTCTATCAAAATATTTTGTAGTTTGGTATTGTTTGAAGATAACACTAGTTAGATGGCTGAATTATTCTCAATGTAATTTTTATTTTCAATGTTATTGCAGCAAAATAGGGCTTTTACTTAGCTTTGTTTTGAATTACTACTGTGTTTTAACATTTATTAAGGGTTAACTAGGTTCCAGAAATTTGCTTATTTTTAAATGTAGATTAACTTATTTAGTCTTCATAAGAATCCTTTGGTAAGGTGTTATTATTCCCATTTTACAGATTAAAAAATGAAGGCTTAGGGAAAGAGTAAATATAATACCAGAATGTTCAGAAAGAAAAATGTGGGAAAATAGATGAAAGTCATTGAAACATTAGCTAATTAGATCTCTAACATGTTTCCTTGTCACTATCCAAACGTTTACATCTCAGCTTCTCCAAAATCTCACAACCTAGTGCTATTAACACAGAAATCACTTCAAATATATTTATTGGGTAAATGAATGATCAGTTGGTATGCTCTCATAATGAAAATATAACCCTACTTTTGCTTAGGTAAAGTCTTTTAGCAAGGGAATTAGAACATTTATCCAACATTTGTATGGCTTAGAGAGAGGACTAGTTGTATGACTTACTAGCTCTGTGATTGTTTGCAAGTTACTTAATTTCCCTTGGCTTCAGTTTCCTTATTTGTAAAACATGGACGATAACATTTCACAGGGCTGTAATGTGAATAAATCATATAATGGGCATGATTGTGCTGGCACAATATCTGGCATAAAGGCGAGGCATTGAATAGCTTTATTAAACGGTTTGTCAAAATATAGACCATAAATAGTAATCTAAATAGGCCTATATGTATTATAGAAATTGAATCAATAATTAATAACCCTACAAAACAGAAAGCACCAAGCCCAGAGGGTTTCACTGGTGAATTCTATGAAACATTTAAGGAAAAAGTTATACTGATTCTCTACAATTTCTTCCAAAAGATAGAAGCAGAAGGAATACTTTTTAATTCATTCGTTGAGGCCAACATTACCCAAATACCAAAACCAGGCAAAGACATTATGAGGAATAAAAGATTATAGACGAATATCTCTCATGAACATAGATGTAAAAATCCACAACAAAATATTAGCAAATTGAATCAAAAAAAGTATAAAAAAATTATACACCATGTCCACTGACGGAGATTTATCCCAGATATATATGCAAGACTATTTTAACATTTGGTAATCAATTAATGTAATCCATTACATCAATAGGCTAAAAATTAAAAAATCACATGATCATATCAATAAAGGCAGACAAAAACATTTGACAAAACCCAATCAATGATCCTGGAACAACTGGACATCCACACACACACAAAGTGAATCTAGACACAGACCTACATTCTTCACAAAAAATTAAGTCAAAATGGATTTTAGAACTAAATGTAAAATGAGGATAACTTAGGAGAAAACCTAGATAACCTTGGGAATAGTGATGACTTTTTAAATACATCACCAAAGGCATGATCGATGAAGTAAATAACAGATAACCTATACTTTATTAAAATTAAAAACTTTCTTCCTTCAAAAGCCAATGTCGAGAGAAGGAGAAGTTGAGCTACAAAGTGAAAGAAAATATTTGCTAAAGATACATCTGATAAAGGACAGTTATCCAAAACATACAAAGAACTCTTAAAACTCAGCAATAAGAAAAGAGGCAACCTGATTTAAAAAATGGACAAAGGACATGAACAGACACCTCACCAAAGAAGATATGCAAATGGAAAGTAAGCATAGGAAACATTGCTGGAGGAAATGCAAAATGGCACAGTCGCTTTGGAAGACAGTTTAGTAGTTTCTTACAAAATTAACATACTCTTGCCATATGATCTAGCAGTCATGCTCCTTGGTATGACCCAAATGAATTGAAAACTTATGTCCACAAAACGCTGCACACAGGTGTTTATAGCAGCTTTATTCATAATTGCCAAAACTTGGAAGCAACCAAAATATCCTTCAGTAGGTGAATGGATAAATAAACTGTGGTAATCCAGGCAATGGAATATTATACAGCACTGAAAAGAAATGAACTATCAAGTCATTAAAAAGACATGGAGGAAAGTTAAATGCATATTACTAAGAGAAGGAAGCCAATCTGAAAAGGCTGTATACTGTATGATTCCAACTATATAACATTCTGTAAAAGGCAAAACTAATGAAAAGATCAGTGATTGCCAGACCATAGAAGATTTTTAGGGCAGTGAAACTCTTCTGTATGATACTATAATGGTGGATACATGTTACTATATATTTGTTCAAATCCATAGAAAGTATAACACCAACAGTGAAGCCTCATGTAAACTATGGACTTTGGGAAATAATGATGTGTCAATGTAGGTTCGTTTATTATAAAAAATGTACCACTCTGGTGTGGGATGTTGATATTGGGGGAGGTTGTGTGCATGGGGGTGGGTGGGGGGTGGACAGCAGGTATATGGGAACTCTCAGTATTTTTCATCCAATTTTGCTGTGAACCTAAAACTTCTCTAAAAAAGTAAAGTTTATTTAAAAAAAATAAACTGTTGCATAAAGATTCTTACAATTATTTACAGTATTGTGGTTAATATTTCAGGCTTTTCAGTCAGGCTGTCAGGGCTTAAATTCTAATAATACTTTCCCTGTGACTCAATTTCCTCATCTCTGAAATGGGGATAATAAGAATATCTTCTCTTAAAGTTTTTGAGAGAAGTAAATGAGATTTAAATTGCTTAACCCAGTGAGTATCTCGCAGTAAGTTTCAGTTCAATAAATCTTAGCTATTCTTTCTTATACAAATTTAAAAGTGTGTTTATCTACAACATCTTGCTGAATTATCCAAGGCTCCTTGCAAAGTGGGAATGGCTGTCCTCAACCTGCAGATGATGAAACTGCAGTTCAGAGGGACTCCATGGTACCCAAGGTCTCACAATTAGTAAGTTGCAGAGGCAAGACTCCAACACTGACTTTTGTCCTCAAAATGCTGTGCACATTGCTTCCTACTACCTTTTTCATCAACCTTCCAACCCTCATGTTATCCTGGTTTCTTCATCAATTTTTGTCTGTATTTCTTCCCTTTGCAGATCTGTAGCACAACAAAGAAGCTGTGGATAATGTAGTGAGCCCATGGAGGATTCTGGAGACATATTCCTATAACAGATACCACCCCATGGGGGAGGTGAGTATGGACACGTTGGTGGGAGCGTTGGTGGTGGTCACAACCTACTTTAGGATGGGCGAGGGATAGTTCACTGTTAATATCCATAGACTAGAGAGTCTCAGAATGGGAGGTTGAGGTTTGCCTGTGCACTGAGGTCAAGGGATTCCCAAACATCACCCCCTGGCCATCACCATTAAAGATACAAATCCTAGTGATATGAAATAAAAAGGCAAAACAACAAAAAGAAAAAAGAAGAAAAGAACACACCAACCAGTTTTGTTTGTGTAAACATGGATCAAAATTAAACGTTACTCTTGTTAATCAAGTCTTTAGCTGGTTTAAGCTGGGCAGGGCCAATGCGTATATGGATGTGGGACATGGGTGGTGAAGCCTTCTGATTGAATCCTACTTAGCCAAAAGTGTGGTATTTTCAGTAGGATGCAGGGAGCACAGGCAACAGCTCTCAAATGGGGAAAACTTTTTTTTCAAAGAAATATTTGTATTGCTACTAAGATAAGTTTAGTGGTTTCTAAAACTGGATACAGTAAAAAGTATATAAGTATATATGTAGTGTGTGCTGTGATGTTATGTAAAACTTCTTTTGAAGTATAAATTTCTAAAAATAGAATTACTGGGTTAAATGATATGCACATTAAAATTTTTGACATAAATGCACAAGTTGCCCTCCAACCAGGCTTTACAATTTATTTCCTCAGTATTGGGGAATATATTAATATTTTCCAGAATTTTTTTCAAAAAGTACAAGAATTTACATTTTCAGGGCTTCCCTGGCAGTCTAGTGGTTAAGACTTCTCCTTCCAATGCAGGGTGTCTGGGTTTGATCCCTGGGCAGGGAGCTAAGATCCCACATGCCTCTGGGCCAAAAAATGAAAAAAACATAAAACAGAAGCAATATTGTAACAAAATTCAATACTTAAGAAAAAAAAAGAATTTACATTTTCTTCTGTAACAATCACCCCAAAGTACTGAAGTTTCTTAGATTTTTTTTTTTTTTAAACAAGATCCAGTAAGACCCATGAGAAGTATATGTGCTGGTATCAGAGATGAGTCACACCTGGCTTGGCCACTTGCTCTGTGACCTTGACCAAGACAGTTAACCTCTTTGTTCCTCAGTTTCCTCATACATGAAAAAGGAATAGCAGTACCTATCCTGCAGCTTTGAGAGTAAATGAAATAAACTACACTTCTACTGATTAAGCAATAAATGATAGTCAGGAGGTCTCATGGCCATTTGAAGGCTGTGTGATTGTACAATGTTTCAGAAGTGTTATACTGGATTGTTGAAATTGATAATTCTCAATCATTTATGTGTAAAGTTCAACAGGGTGTCCTAAGATTGGGTGGCAGAGTAGATCTTTAAAGAATATGGGAGGAGGGGAGGTCATAATTCATTAGTTTAGTCTTCTAGTTTGTGTGCTAATAAAGAGCGAAGAGTTCAGAGTTCAGTATCTTGATGAAAGAAGCAATTATCTTAATTTAGAGGCAAGCAAAGGATCTTCTTATTGATAACCTCAGTCCTCCCTGGCTGTTTCAGATCTATCAGTGGATGAGTGAGATAAGGGAGAAGTACACGGAAGTGGTGACGTAGCATTTCCTAGGAATGACCTATGAGAGCCGGCCCATGTATTATTTGAAGGTGAGTGAGAAGGCTGAGAATTAGAGTCCCACTCAAGGATATTTATGTACTATCCAGAGGCTCTAGTCAGAAGTATAGACAAGGTTAAAAGAGGCAAGACAGAGAGACTTGGCTTTTCCAAAGTCTTGATTTTAAAATTCAAAACTTGGTGGGGAGGGATAAATTGGAAGATTGAGATTGATACATACCCACTACTATGTATAAAATTGATAACTAATAAGGACCTACTGTATAGCACAGGGAACTCTACTCAGTACTCTGTAATGACCTATATGGGAAAAGAATCTAAAAAAGAGTCCAAATACATATATCCATATGTATTTATATAACAGATTCACTTTGCTGTGCACCTGAAACTAACAAAACATTGTAAATCAATTATACTCCAATAAACATTTTTTAAAAATTAAATACTTGTAAATGCTTACATTTACAAGTATTTAATACTTGTAAATGTAATAAATAAATACTTGTAATTGCTTATTACTTATTGCTTATTACTTGTAATAAATAAATACTTGTAAATGCTTACATTAATCATGAGGGTGGAATCATGTTCTGGAGTAAAGAGAATTTGGAATGGTTGGGTGAGACCACAGGCGTAGGACTTAAAAATAAAGTCCCAGAAGTAAGAACTTATCCCTTAGTTTTCTTCACGCTTGGCCTCCCTCGTCCCCACTAAGACTGAGGAACTTAGAATCGTGGAGGGTGGCTGGAAAGGACCTTAGACTTCCTGGCTGAGAGGTTTCCAGCTTGTGCTCTGTGAAGGCCTGGGTGCCTCCGGTGCTCCCACAGCGGAAGGGGGACGGGGTGGGGGGCTGCATAAGGGAGAAATCCCCAGTTCACTTCTCATATGTATTTTGAGTTTTTACAAAATTTTCTTTTTTAACACATTTTTTCCCCCATAAGAATGTTTGAACATCATGGACAACCTTTATTTTTGGTTCCTTCATTTTATAAGGAAACAAAGACCCAGAGAAGTGAAGTGACTTGTACGAGGTCACACAGCCAGACCGTAGCATAGCCAGAGGGATAACCCAATCTCCAGGCTCTCTGCCCTTTTAACATGTGATACGATGAAAAGTGTCTGAATAACCACTTTTCCACAGGGCCAGGCCTTCTTGGCTCTCAGTTTTGGAACAGTGATTTTTCAATCCTGGCTGCTTAATACTGACGCCTGGGCCCCATCCACAGAGATTCTGAGCTAATTGCTCCAGGATGGGGCCCAGACACCTTTTGAAAGCTCCCTAGGTGATCCTACTGTGTAGGCAGGTTGACAACAACTGCACCTAACCAGTGGTTTTCAAAGGGTGGTCCCTCGACCGGCAGCATCAACATCTCCTGGGAACTTGTTAGAAATGCACATTCTTGGGGGGTCTAACTACAGATCTACTGAATCAGCAACTCTGTGGGTGGGCCCAGCAATCTGTGTTTTAACAAGCCCTCCTCCAGGTCATTCTGATGCACACTCATGTTACAGAAAAACAGTGCATTTCTAACAAGTTCCCAGGTGGTGCTGATATCGCTGGTCCAGGACTACCCTTTAAGAACCGCTGCCAAAGTAGTTTGGCATTAAGAACTAGCGTTACTTTATTCACTGTAGACACGTTAATTTACAAAGCACATCCCCAAATTCAAGAATTACTAACAACTACAAACAAATCTCGGTGGCTCTGAAGTAGAATTTACCCAGGAGCTGAGTGAGTATTTGGTTGATATGTTAAGTGTGGGCCACCTACCAGCCTGATTTTTCCATAGGCCGTCAAACTCTGAGCTGAGTCAGCCAAAAAGACCTCTAAACATCCTTTGCCTAGGACGTATTTGAAAGAATAGAATTGACACATAACGAGGAGGCAATAAAGATAAACATATGGTCATATACATAGACTCATAAATAAAAGGGGTGATTACAAGAGAGAATTAAAGTAAAGGGTAGATTAGGAATTATGCCAGGAGCTTTGAAAATGGGTGAGGCTAAAAGGGAAAACGTCCTTGAATATGATGAATCCAGCCCATATTTATTTCAGTTCGTAAGTTTCTCACAGGTATAGAGGGAGAGCCTTCATCAGCCCAGCTCCCAAGAGCTTCCAATGAGTAGCATGAGTCCAGGCCATTTACAAACCAAAGCAAGATGTGACTGTGACAAACATGGGCATGTTCACAGCTTCTTCTCCACCAAAGAGAATCCGTAATTGCCAGGTTCATTCCTACCTATCCCACCTCTGAAAGAGGAGGGAATCTTTCTTTCTTGAGTGAGTACAAGAACAACAAATGGGGAGAGGAGAAAGAAGATTGGGTCAGCTGGGACTGCAGGAGTCTCTAAGGAAAGAGGAAGGTAACGAATGTAATAAGTATCGCAGGAGATTATGCATTTGGATCCTTCCACAGTTTCAGGAAGCTTAAATGCAGACTGGGGTTCAGTTTCACTACCTTTGAGTCATGCACGTTACCACTTGTGCACTTTACCGCTCTGAGTCAGCCCTGTGTGGTAAGGTTTTATAAGGCTTATGGAGACTTAGCCTCTCAGTTTGTGGTTTATGCGTTTATTTAAAGTTAGGGAATAATTTAGGATATGGGGAAGACCAGGCTTTGCATGGGGTACACGGAGGTGTCAGCTTGTGGTCCTAAGAACAATAGCCAAGGTAACCGCAGGAGGCGGTTGGCAGCATGGCCAACAGAAGGGTCATATTGGTGGGTGTCTCTGCCAGCATCCTTGCCTCATCCTTGAAACCACAGAGTGGAAGGAGACAGGTACCTCCAGGGGAATAAAACAACCTGATAACTTTGCTCGGTGGCCTCAATCATAAGCCATTGTTTGATAATGAAATATGAATGTCTCCTCCAGCTCAGCCAACCATCCAATAACCCCAAGGAGATTATCTGGATGGACTGTGGAATTCATGCCAGGGAATGGATTGCCCCTGCTTTTTGCCAGTGGTCTGTGAAAGAGTAAGTGTCTTTCACTTTCTCATAATGGTTAACCACCCCACAAAATACCTGTCATGTCTCGGCTTTGGAAAGCAGGTTTCTTTCACATCTTGGCAAGGCAGCTTTCCACTGAGCTGCTCCTTCACCCCAAGGGAAATGGAATTCATAAGTAGCTTCACTGAAAACTGAGTTAGTTGTTCTGTTCTCTTTCTAATGCACCCAAAATTATCTTTATTGGAAGGTAAACAAATCTAAATGGAGAAGAAAATACATCTTGGAAGTCAGAGATGAGTTTGAATCCTGGAGCTCTTTCTAATAGTCTTGTGCAAAATTTCTATCACTAGGACCCCTAGTTTTTTACCTGCAAAAGGTGTATGAAATGACTACTTGAACGTAATCATGAAGAGCACACAATTGTGTGGATTAAGAGATTAACACATGGAAACTACCTGGCACCGTGAATTCTTGCGTATTACCTATATCCCTCCTTTGAGGGAATAAGAAAACTTTAAAATTAATATAAGATACTTTTTGTGTCAGTCTTTTCAGAAACCCAAACATAATTCAACCCACAAATTACAGTTCTCAAACTGTGGTTCCTAGACCCATAGCATCATCATAACTGGGAACTTGGAAGAAATGCAAATTCTGGGTTTCCACATCACCACCTCTTACCTACTGAATTGGGGCTGGGGGTGGAGATGGAGGGTGGGCAGGCTGTAATTCAAAAAGTCCTCCAGCAAGAAAATCCACTGCAATGAGAAGCCCACGCCCCACAAGGAAGAGTAGCCCCCCGCTTGCTGCAACTAGAGAAAACCTCAGCGCAGCAAGGAAGACCCAACACAGCCAAAAATTAAAAAAAAAAAAAAAAAAGTCCTCCAGGTGATTCTGATGCATGGTGAAGTTTCAGAAAGACCGCCATAATGAACGGGACAGTTGAGGCAGGATTGGATGGCAAAAGTTGGATGTTCAGTCACCACTTATGATTAAGTTGAAATTGTTAGAAAATTAAGAGAGAAAAGACCTCTTCCCAGGATCATTCCAAATGTTTCTCTATTAAATATCCAGATTCTACAGAATTATAAAGACAACTCAAGGATAAGAAGTTTCCTTAAAAACCTGGACTTCTATGTGCTTCCGGTTCTTAACATAGATGGTTACCTCTATACTTGGACAACGGTGAGTACATCGAGTTTGGTCCTGGGATGGGTTCATGAACTAGATCTTGTCTCGGGTTCATTTTCCTGACCTCAGTCACTGCAGCTATAAAAATGTTTTGGGGCTTCCCTGGTGGCGCAGTGGTTGAGAGTCTGCCTGCCGATGCAGGGGATGCGGGTTCGTGCCCCGGTCCGGGAGGATCCCACATGCCGCGGAACGGCTGGGTCCGTGAGCCATGGCCGCTGAGCCTGCGCGTCCGGAGCCTGTGCTCCGCAACGGGAGAGGCCACAACAGTGAGAGGCCCACGTACTGCAAAAAAAAAAAAAAAAAAAAAAGTTTCTAAATCATACCACTCCATAATTAAGAGCCTCTGTTTCCAGAGACTATGAATTCCTCCCCCTCCCCCACCCCGGCTCCCCCAGCCCTTCGTGGGACCCCTTTCTCTGTAACAGCCTTTCTGGCCCGGTATGTGAATCAAGCCCTTCCCTCCCACCTTGTCTGGTGAAACAGGTCTTTATCCCTATCTCTACTCATCAGTCTTCTGCTTCCAGAAATGTGCAGAGACCATCTCTGATGCACCTGGAACAGCCTTTTCCCATCTGCCAAGCTATTTCCCTTTCGCCCTTTATCACTTGGACCTAAAATAATGACTCTCTGAAGTTTTCCCGATTAAGCAGATTGCGTCCACCAGGCACTGTTAATCTGCTCGTGAGGGAAAGGCCAAACTACCCCTCCAATTTGATGGTTTACACGTATATACACTTTGGGTTGTACAGATGTTCCTGTTATTGGGGGTTGCTAGCCCATCTGGGGGACTAAAAATTATATGCACAAGCTTCATAATGTTGAGGCAATTTTTCCAGACAATCCTAAGGAACCATTTTTCATATTCGAGGACCACCCATCATCACTAACACTGTGATTCATGAGACCTTAGAATGGCAACTTCCCTATGTTCCTCTGTTACAGGATCGGCTTTGGAGGAAATCCCGTTCATCCCATAATAATGGCATGTGTTTTGGGACAGATCTCAATAGAAATTTCGATGCATCCTGGTGTAGTTAAGTACATGCTTCGTAGATGAACTGATGAATAAGGACACACAAAACAAATGGAGCAGAGAAGCCAGAAAAGAGGTGAATTACTAGAATTAGTACTATTTATATATATACCTTTTGAAATAAACATCTAATTCTGTACAGCTTTCTGGACTTCCTGGTCAGTGTTACTCTCTCTAAAGAGGTGATATTATCTATACAGTAAGAACAGCAACACTGAAATGAAGGACTCTTTTCAAGTGAGACTGGCTAAAAAAGGGCAAAGAAGACCTAGACCAGTGTGAATAATTTTGAAATCCATCATTTTGTTTTAAAATATACGAATTGTTATAAAGGAAAATCAGAGAAGCATCCTTGCAAATTATTTTACAGCAGGAGGGCAGAAGTAAACAAGGCAAACATTTTCTTCTCCTTAAGGCAGTTTCATGTTTCTGAATCTCAACAAGTCCAATGGATTGGAAACAAATAGAGGTACGGATGGTTAAGAGCAGTCTGGCTAAAAACCAGATGGGAAAGGTTAACATTCAGACTTGGCGGCCCTGTGGTATTGAAAAAATTGCTTCATCTCTAGGCTTTAGTTTTCTCTTATTTTTAAAACGTGGCTCAGAGTAATACCATCTTATCAGTAGGTTGTTGTGGAGATTCAATGAGATGCCACACAGGAGGGGCTTAGCACAGTGCCCTGCATGTAAAAGGTGCTCTGTTGTTGGTCCTTATTATTACTGGTGAGAAGGACAGACTACAAAATAGCTTTTTGTGTTTTTTTTTGTCCTTGCGAAATAGCTCTAATGAGACTCAAGCCAGTAAGACAGCAAGAGATATACTTAGGGCAACAAGACTATAACAGAGTCTGACCCTGGAACCCAGGAACAGGTTCCCAAGCATTTGTTTCAGGGACCACCAAAGGTTTAAGTGAAAGATTACTGAAAATGCCATTCCATTTTGCATCTTCCTTCCCGGGCCACATAAGCAGGGGTCTGTTTCTAAATCTGCACGTCAGTCCTCCTGCCTTCCTGAGTTCCTCCTTGAATGACTTATTTTAGCAGGACAAAATTAGACAAGCAAAGGCAAGCCTTAATTCCACCCACAGATGTCCTGAGCAAGGCTGACTCCTTGACCTTGGTCAGTGCTAAACGGAGATCGTGATGCCTTCCTTGGGGTTTCCTGTATGTTTCAGGTATCGGTGCATCTCACAACTGCCAAGATTTAACATTCTGTGGGACAGGACCCATGTCTGAACCAGAGACTAAAGTTGTTTCCAGCTTTATCGAGAGCAGGAAGGAGAACATTGCCTGCTTCCTGACCATGCACTCTTACGGGCAGCTCATCCTCATGCCTTATGGCTACACCAAAAATAAATCAAGTAACCATGAAGAACTGGTAAGACCATTGAGCCAGAGCCTTGAGAAGCCTCAGCACGACCCTGATTCTTTCCTGATTCCCATTTCTGGGGTTTTGGCTCCAGCCTCGCTTTTGTTCCCTTTGCTTTTCCTTATTTCCTTTCTCCTGCTTTTCACACCTTGCCAGACGCCTGCTGGGAAGGCTTCAGGTTAAATGCTGCCTTACCTGCATTAATTAACTACCTATTTCAAAAAGTGTCAAGTTGGGAGACATCTTAGGTATTCGTGTATAATATAAATGAGATGATTATGTTAATAATCTGCAGGAATGCGCTTTCATTTCTGTAAATTCTCTTGAAGCTCCGTTCAGCAATTATAGCTTTTGAACCGTGCTTTAAAGAACTTCCCAGCTGTTAGTGGAATATGGCATATCTAAAATAACACGGCTAAATAATATCTGCTCTCTTCTCTGCTAAACACAATGCTTTATTTTCTTCTAAACTATGCCTCTAGTATTTGCCTAGGAATATTTGTAAGGGGAAGTGCTAGTGAAATTCAAGCTGGGGCAGGGAAAGTCTGCTTTGTCTTATCCAGGGTCCTTCTCTGAAGCTGTGTTTACCCAAGTCCTGGTGGGCAGAATTGTTGAAAAGGACTGGGCTCTTTGCCTTTTTGTGAACCTGAGAACAATAGAACTAAGTCAAAGAAAGGGTCAATTTATAATTGTTGTAGTTATTTGTTATCTTTTCTTAAAAGTTATTTTTTCAGTTTTTAGTTGTGGTAAAACATACATAATATAAAATGTACTGTCTTAACCATTTTTAAGTGGACAGTACAGTAGTGTTAAGTATATTCACATTATTGTGTAACCAATCTCCAAAACTTTCATCTTGCATCATTGAAATGTCTCTACCCATTAAACAAAAAATCCACATCCCCCTTGTCCCTGTTAACCACCATTCTACTTTCTGTCTCTATGAGTCTGACTATTCTAGTTACCTCATGTAAATGGAATCATACAGTATCTATCTTTTTGTGACGGGCTTATTTCACTTAGCATAAAGTCTTCAAGCTTCACACCTGTTGTACCATGTGTCAGAATTTCCTTTTTTTTTTTTAAGGCTGAATAATATTCCATTGTTATGTATATACCACATTTTCTTTATCCATTCACCCATCAATGGTCATTTGAATTGTTTCCACCTTTTGCCTACTGCAAATAATACAGCTATGAACATAGGTGTACAAATATCACCTTGAGATCCCATTTTCAACTCTTTGGGGTATATACTCAGCAGTAGAATTGCTGAATCGTATGGTAATTCTATTTTCAACTTTTTGAGGAACCATCGTACTGTATTCTACAGCAAGTACACCATTTTCTGTTCTTTCCAATAGTGAATTAGAGTTCCAGTTTCTCCACATTCTCACGAACACTTGTTATTTTCTGCATATCTTTAAAAAATTGTTTTTTAAAACAAGCTCCTCATTATCAATAAATGCTGGGCTGGATAGGGGCTAATCTTGCTCTGTTCTTAAGATCACAGAAGGCTGGTGGCCCATTGGCTCTGTCATTCCTCTTGTCCCTCTCCCACTGGAACATCACCCATAAAACACAGGTCTGGGCACTAAAAGAAAAACCACTATAGATCTTTGCTGAAGGCAGCCCTTCCCCCCAGAAGTCAAAAATATCTGTCAGTACCCCAATGTCTTTCCTGCAATTGTTTTCGGACATTTGTACGACGTGATCATTTTGCAAGAGGTGGAGATAACATTTACCTATAACTTTAAAAATTACAAAGAGATTTTATGGCCATTACTTCATCTGATCCTCATGACAATATAATAAGCTCATTTTGGAGATGTAGAAATTAAGACCTTGAGTTAATTATATTTCTAAAGTCCCTGTAGACAGTAAATGTTGGAGTCTGGGCTTGGAACTCATGTCTTTGGACTCCAGAGGCCACATTCATCTGACCACAGAACACTGCCTTTCTCCACTCAGGAAGGGTTTGCAACTTCTGGAAGCTGTCATCGACTTAGATGCCCAGTCCACTGTGTCCTATATCCTCCTCATTTCTGTGCCAGAAGTTCTATTTCTTCAGTAAAGAAATGTACAGAAACAGAAATTTTAGTCAAGAAGCCCAGAACCCTCCTTACTTCCCAATTCCTGTGATATTTGCCATAAATGTTTACTTTCTGCTTAAAGGATTCTGTGACAAATACAAATGAACAACCTAAGTCAGGCCATTATAGATATTTGATGGGACAGGCCTTCTACCAGCAGAAAAAAAGAGGTCTATATACTCCGGTATTTTTCTAGAGAATTTAATTTCCTTTTTAGGTTCAGGAAAGCAGTTACTACATCTCCGTTTTTGCAAGGTTTGTATTCAAATGTCACAGGGTCTTGGACTGATGATTGGCTGTCTCATTAGAGCCCTCTGGCCACAGAGGGGGCACTGGCATTGCCGTTACCAGAAGGTGGAATTCGAAGATGGGAATTACTGGCCATCCTCAATACTCTGTGTAGAGACTGGAAAATTGAATTGAGAAAGATTGCTTCAATTCTGTATCTCTTACCGCCTTAGGTGTTGAAGAATTAGCATAACATTCATCACTAAGACTTTTCCATAAAAAGACTGAAAATGTTGCCACCATGTATCAAACTCATAAAAGCTAGTTAGCAGTGTTTTTAGGTTCTTAGTGATAAGCTTTGATAGAGTACACAAAGATAGAATCACACCAACTGTTCAAGGAGTTTTCCATTTCTGGTATATTTACAACCACCAGAGACTAGTAATTAATCTCTATGTATTTACAAAACCAAAAATTTGTAGAAATCTTCATAAATATTATACTGTATGATAGACAACTTGGCAATCACTAAGTAGGGGAAACAGAACTATATATACCCTCATTCTAAACTGCTCTGGAGATTAGAATAGCTATAAGAAATCTAATGTTTCAAATGCTGATATTCTTTGCATTGGAACCCTTTCCATATCAGCCCCTGTATCCCATTCCAAACTCCATCCTCCCACACCCATGCCAGGGCCTTAATCAATCTTTTTGAGTGCTTGCCTGTGAATATATGTCTACAGGAAATTCTCTGGGCCCAGTGAAGAAGTTATTAAGCAGGCATGAGGTCTTTAACAATGTAAATTATGCACTACTAGCAAAGGGTTTTTATTATTTTGACTAAGAAGGACAGCAGAGCAATTGGCTCTCTATGGCCTTGCAATATAGTGTCAAAAAGAAAGAGAAGAATAATCAAGAGTTTGACCCTTTGAGATAGAAGGCAGAGTCTAGGGGAATCTTCATTTCATCTTCTCAGAAAGGACCAAACCCATAAGCTAAGGATCACAACTGTGTGCTTATCATATATGTTATATTTCTTACTCCTATCTACTTGCCCATGGTAATTGCTTGTGGAATCATTAAAAAAAAAAAATCAAAAGTTCTTTTGTCAATAAAGAAGAGGAAACTGGGAGACTCTTTCCCTCCCCACAGCCAAGATTTGAGGAAAGGGAGCAATATAGGATAAAATAAGTGAAGGTTGGCAGTGGGAAGAAGAATCATGATCTGGGGTGAGCTGCAGGAAAGAAAAAAGAATGCAAGAAACCATTTGAATAGAAAATGTAGCCTGGAGCTGCTCCATGTAACCCAAATTACAGTTAAGACCAGTTAACATGGAGTTTCACTCAAAGAAACACAGGAACACATGGGAATTAAAAATAATTAAAAGCAATTCATATCTCTACCAGAGACTCTCAAAGAACTTCAAAAAGGATGTAGTTGCTATTTGTTAGCAACTCTTTCTCTAGGCTGCATGCTCTTAATTTCACTCACACACAGCAGCTACCCTGAATCCTTTCTCTCCACTCTTCATTCTTATTTCCTTACTGGAATTTCTCTCTCTAGAAATCCCCTTTCTGACTCTCCTTTCCTTCTTATAATTTCCCCTTCTTCCTACAAACAGCTCTTGTACCTCTTCCCAGTGTACTTGTACTTCTTTAGCCCTTCCTGCCCATCATCTCAGTTCTGGACAATGCAAGCCCAGCAACTAGGGCAGACACAGAATCTCTTTACAGGAAGAGAAGGAGAAGGTAAAACTCTTAGTAGTGAGTGTAGAGGAGTCAAAAAGCTTGCAAATATGTTTAATGTTGAATCTTAGCACACACACAGAAAGTGCAAAGTCCTACTGCTGCACAGGACCCCATAACCACTTATTACCTCTCCTAGTCTTCCTTTTGAATTTCACTATGCCTATCCCCACTCTAACCAGACACCACCTTGTCACACCTTGGGATTCAGTCAGACAATACAGGACCAGGAAAAGAGAGACAGAATCTAAAACTAGATCTGTCACTGGTCAGGAGAAGAAGTCAAGGGAGCTGACGTACCTGTAAGTGTAGTCAGGCTGCCCTCAAGTGTAAAGCAATTGTGGATCCAGGCAGGGAGTGGCCAAGGGGATTTTGGTGGTGTTTGTATAGACCCCAAGGGGAAGTAGTGGGATACACCATCGGGTGGGTAGAATATAGCATTAGGGAATCTAGGGTAGGGAATACTTAGACTATCAAAAGGTATGCAAGGAGATTTATCAGACAGTCAATAAATATAACCAATATACTTGGACCTCAGTTAGTGACTCTGATCTCAGGAAAAGGTCTGAAGAGAGCAAGGCTGAGACCTTAGAAATCATCTAGTTCTGAAGGATTTCCAATTCAGTAAGGTGACATGGGGGTAGATAGAAGGAAGTGTGTCATTTTCTGCTCTGAAAATCTATGAGCCTATGAGAGATAAGTATCAAATACCTTTAAGGAAAAACAAGAGAGAAGTAATAAGGGAAGCATGAGCAAAAGGCTATGGGAGAAAAAAGTGGGGAGAGAGAATCCACTTAGGGTGCTCAAGAAATGCCTATGGAGAACTTAGCATTTGAGAAGGTTCTTTGAGTTTGCGTAGAATTTCAACAGAGAAGAGGTAAGGCATCCCAAGTAGAGGAAATATCCTGAGAAAAGGCGGAGAGGCTGAGGAACATGGGGTATGTCTGAGCAACTGTGGGAGAACTTGAGTTTGACTGTAATCTAGGGTGGGATCTAGAGAATATAGTGTTGGAAATGTGGGTTAGATCCCTATCGTAGAGGATCTCAACTAGTAGACTGAGAAGTTTATACAAATGCAGTGGGTAACTGAGAGTTATTGAAGGTTTTCAGCAGGATCATTATGATTGTCCTGCTCTACAAAGGTTCACCTGGAAGTCAGGGAGATCAATCGGGATTAAGGATTGGCAAGAGGAAGGAAAACCTATTAGAAGATGACAGCAGTCCATTTCAGAGTTAATAAGACTGAAATAGGGTGATGGCATTAGAAATGCAACTTGGTAACTGTTTGAGAGAAGAGTCAAAGATGATTGTAGGAATTTACATGTTGGGGGCACATGATCGGTCAGAACTATGAAAATCAAAACAGCCTTATTAGTGGAGGAGATGATAAAATTGGATATGAGTATGTTGAGTCTAAAGTATCAGAAGACTACCCAGGTATAGATGTTCAATGGGAAGTTAGAAAGATGGTCTGGAACTCTGAGGATGGATTTGGACAAAATAGCAAATGCTCTGAATTGTTGGATTTATTTTTAACACCAGATATCTGTCTCTGCATTTCCCACCTACAGATCCAAGTTGGACAGAAGGCAGCAAATGCATTGAAAGCAAAGCATGGAACCAATTATAGAGTTGGATCTAGTGCAGATATTTTATATAAGTATCTTTTTTTCACCTCTTCAATAGTATCTAAAGCACAAAAGAATTCAGTGGACTTTGGAGACTGGAGTGGACAGGATAGAAGAGTTCCTCGGATCAACAGGAAGTTGTACAAATCAAAATGACCAGGGATAAAAGGGAGTCTGTACAAATCCAGAATTGTGCTCTCTAGGGATAAGGTGTGAGCTAAAAGCAAAAATTAATACACTGGCTCAGACCAGTACTCCCTCTGGCTTCAGTTAAAAAGAACTGGCAGGGAGAAGGCACAGGAGTTAACAGGAAAGACATTTTCCAGTGACCCTTGGTCGGTTGATTCAGTTCCCAGAGGACCATCAGGCAAAACAGGTGGGGCCTGGAGTTTAAAAAAAAAAAAAAGGATTTAGTTGAAAGGAGAGTGCATTGCTTTCCCCATCCCCAAGCACCCCCTCCTCCACCCACTGAAGGGCAACCGAGATGATATTTTCTTAATATCATCATTTTAGTGATATTGGTCATTTTGTTTCTGTTCCTTTACAGGTCAGTTGAATCTTATCTTCCAATATCAGATTGTCTTGTCTTTGATTCAGCTGAGAAACTTTAACCAAACCTCTGCTATGTGCCAGGCATGATGCCAGGCATTGTGGGGATAGATGTGCCAGGCATAATGCCAGGTATAGTGGGGATGGTGAGTGGAGACAGAAGCGGAAAATGTCAAGGAGAGAGAGAAGGCAGCTATTCATAGATCCTAATATGAAAGAGTTGATTTATTTTGCTGGGTTGAACTTTAGTCCCTGAAATGGCTGTAGAAATCTGTCCTTTCACAGAATAACTTCTAACTCTTCCTCCATATTTTCATTTGTAGATGCCATTTCAGGGTTTTCATGAGACTGGGCTTGGGACATTGGGATCCCCTTCTCATATGCATTTGAGCTGAGGGACATATGGGTACATATGGGTTTGTCCTGCCAGAAACTCAGATTCAGGCCACCTGCGAGGAAACCGTGGAGGCTGTGCTTTCAGTCCTGGATAATGTGTATGAGAAATACTGGTATTCAAACAGTGCTGGAAAGGTGACATCTACTGCTGTGGTGCTGAGCTTGCTGATGTCCTTCATGTTTCTTCTGTAGGTGCATCCTACCTAGGCCTGCTCAGCCCCAGAGACGTGGATATAGCTGCATGAAAGGTGTTTGAGGCTATGGAGGAACCAAATAATTTAACTAGAAATACTTTCTGTTTCAAAAAAGATGAATCATCTTTGCATTTTAATGTTTGTTCTGCTGGTAATTAATTGTTATTACTTTAGTAGACTTTAATATTAGTTAGTTATTGGTACAATAATGCCACAAACCAAACCACTCTACAATTCAGTGACTCACAAATCTATAGGTCAGCTAGGAAGTTCTGCTGATCTTGGCTGTGCTCACTTATATATCTGTGGTTTGTTTCAGGGCAGCTGCCCCAGGGTCTAGAAAGTTTTTTCCCGTCTAAACTCTTTGAAAATTTTGCTCATGCCTGGGACCCAAGTTCACACTCAATTTTGTGTAATCGCGTTAGTAGTGGCATTCAGAAGATGAAGTTATATAATCTCTCTATATAGCTGTTGCTGGTTTTATTTATTTATTTATTTAATGTTTTATTTATTTATTTAAAAAAATTTTTTTGAGAATCTACAAGGTACATTTTGCTAGGCTCTGGGATTACAGTGGTGAATAAGGTAGACATGGTCCCTGTTCCCCTGGAATTTCTGTTCCAGTGGGTGAGATTGATTGGAATGGACACTGTTGCATACCAGACAAATCTCATCTCTGGGGAACCATAATAATCAAGAACACAAATATATAAACTAAACCTTGCATCTTGTGACAGGGGCTATAAGAAAAATAAAGAGTAAGTAGAGAGGTAAGCAAGGGCCAGATTGTATGTTTCTGGGTACACAGGTGTTTAATTGTGCTATTGTCTATTACACTTTACGTGCTCTTCAGGTAGCATCTATGACTGTCATTTCCTATGTATCTCTATGTGACACCTTGAAATGATGCAAAGCACTTGTCAGGCTTTGAACAAATGTTGTCACTGTGACCAGCTGACAGGGTATCCTTGGGTGTTCAGTCACCCGTTTCTGAATTTCCTTGTTGGTCACAGTCACAATACACTTCTTGGTTGTAACCCTTTTATTGCCTTTCTTTGTCCTCTTTATTTCTTCATGTTTTGCCAGTGTGTGTCTGATAAGGGTCAGAAAGGAAAATGTCAGGGGCAGTGGGGCTTAATGAATCAGAGAACAGCTATTTACATAAAAATGCCAGCTCACAATTGTGGCATTGTTAGGAGAAAATGGTTGGGTTTCATCAATGGTCAGCCTGGGAGGGAAGAAAACTAGGATGGCCACCAATGCCATATTCAAGAAGAAAGCAGAGGAGCTGCGGCTTGAGACTCACGTTATCAGCTTTCATTCAGCCTGTATTTTAGTTTCTAAGGCTGTCTGTTAACAATTTGGATGTCTGAGTACTATAGGAGCTCTGATCTACAAAGCTTAATTCATGCCGAAAGATTGAGTCCATGGCCAAAGAAAGCTGGAAGGGAATGGATGGAAACGCAAGCTATCAGCTTGCCTGAAACTTCCCACAGGGACCCTTCCAAAAGTTAAAGACACAATTGTAGCCTTCTGGGGGCGGGGCTTCACATGGGTCTGAGGGTGTGGGAGACTGAGGGCCATGACATGTTTTTTACTTCTTCTGATAGTGTTTTACTCTTTGTGAAAGGATACTAAAAGCAAGGCTAGAATAGTGATGAATGACCACACTGATCTTTCTCAAGGATGTTTTCAACTTTCTGGTCTTAAATGGTAATAGTTTGGGAAAACTGCACAACTGATGCAACTAATGCAATCTTTAAAGTATCCTATACTGAGACTTTGTTGGGTCTGGGATTTGATTTTACCCTACTTTAAAGCTAGGAAGTTAGCTTGTTGCTGTTTCATGGGTGGTAGAAGACATGAAACCTCTGAGTCAGGGACAGGAAGTTATCACCCGCAGACAGGAAGTAGCATGAACATCAGCATACTTACATTGGCTCTCTTGCTCCCAAGTTTGAATATATTGCATTTTCGGTTACTATTTCTTTCTTTCCACCAAATTTGGATGATGCCTTTTTTCCATAACTATTCCTACAAAGGATGGAGATCTCCTTGACCTATAGGTGAATTTAGAGTTTAAAATGAGGCAAAATGATAAATTCAGATGGTATCCAAGTTTCTAGCTCTAACCTTTTTCTACATCAGTGTCAAAATGAGTTATATTTTTGTTTCCATTATGTATGACCAAGCTCTGTTTCCCTTCCTTTTCTTATGCACTTTAGCAATCTCCTGATATGTTACTGAAAATATATTCTTCATATCGCCTGGTAATATTCTTATCTTCTGCATAGAATTTGAATCTGGTATAAAGTTATTATGGCACTAAGAGAGGGTCACTGCCCAAGAATATAAAATTACAATATTAAATACAAAGGGTTTTTTAAAACTTAAATTAATAATTATTAACTTGATACTATATGCAGTGATTAGAATCCTTTATGTATATTACTTTACATAATACTCATAAGAATCCTGAGTTAGGTACTTTTATTTATTTGATGAAGAAGCTGAGATGAAGAGAAGGTAAGAGCACATCTATGGTCACACTGTTCTTAATCATTATTGATTGATCAAATAATTTCTTGGGATAGGAACTTTCTGTTTCCAAGACATTGGAAGTATTGTCTACTGGCCACTGCTGGTGCTTCATCCAGACTCCTTCCGGCCCCTTCTCCTGCATCTCTTTCTGTCCTTAATGTGTTTTTGGCTCCCAACAGCTCACACCAGTGTGACTCTTTTTCCAATGACTGCCCTTGGGCTATTGCACGTGATTTACCTGCAGCCACAGACACGTTTGGGAGTTCTGCCCACCACCAGAAACTCCCAGCCCCTGCCTGGATGGAGACTGATGGATCCAAGAGCATGAAACCTAGTCCCTTGCAGTGGGTTGGGGAAAACTCCAAAGTGTCACTCATGTTCCAGAGATCATGTGGGATAAGGTTGATGTTACCCTGCAAAGAACTTTCTCTGAGGTTACAGCCATGCTTGGCTTCCGCCTTTCCTTGTCCTGTGTCACTTTCTCTTGGTAGCACCTCCTGAATAAGCCACTTGCGCATGAAATCCTCGTTTCTGGGTCTACCTCTAGGGAAGCCAACATAAGAAAACCCCCTTGGGTGCTATTACCAAAACATAATACATTCTTAATTTCCTAAAATGACATTTAATAAAAAAAAAAATATATATATATATATTATATACGTATATAATATATATGTATAACTGAATCACTGTGCTGTACATCTGAAACTAACATGATATTGTAAATCAACTATAATTTTAAAAATCATAGTTAAAAATTTTAAGTATTGCTATTAATATTCAGAAAATGCCTGGGAATTACAACATCATATGGACAGAAATATTTCTATTTTGAAGATGTCGCCATTATGGAACAGGAGGAATCTTGTTCTAGAAAAGACTTTCACTTCAGGAAAACATATGCATTTCCAGTCTGGTCTCTATTGAAGGCACAGTAAAAAAAAAGATTAGCCTTTACGGACTTGTAAAATTTGAAGTATCTGGTATTGTGATAAGACTTTATGAGAAAATAATAGGCACTTATAATAGTTTCCCACTCTGATGTCAAGACTGCACCGTCTTTTCTTAGCTACCCTGAAAAATGAATTTTATTTCTTTCTAAGGAGTCATTCATCTAAAATAATACTAATAAAAAATAAAGCTCTAAACAGCTTAAATGGTGAGTGTATTAACTCCTTTCTTACCTGCGTGTTCCTTTCCCCTGGAGCTCTTATTATGTTTTTTCTTTAAAAAAAATACATTTGTGCAAGTCAGCTCTAAAAATGGTGCAAATAGAAAAATGAAAGTCTCTCTCTTTACATGAATGGTGCAAAAGCAACCACAGAAACATAAAGGAGGCAAAGAGGAATGTGCATTCATGGGGCTGAATCCTCCCAGCTGCCCCCCAAAAATCCGGTTGACTAGGTGGAGGATCCTGAGAAGGTGAGGCGGAAAGTCAAGTGGGAATCAGTTGGCTGAAGGTCCTGAGCACTGGACAAGAGTTTAGACATTATTCCTATAGACTGCAGGGAGTACTCATGTTTTTGCACCGGGAGGGTAAATTAACACCTGTTGTGTAAATATTAGTCTGGAATGATGGCTTAGAATGGGACATTTAAAGGGGAGACCTCTGAGTCAAACAGTTCAGAAAATATTATATTGTGCACAAATAATTGAATAAGACTTCAGTTGAGTTGGTGGCCATAAAAATGGAAACAAAGGGACAGACATCAGAAGTGTTGTTCAGAAAGATTCAGTGTAGGGTCTCTTTGATTATGGAGATGTGGAAAAAGGAGGGTGGGAATTATTGTGAGTGGCTGAACAGAAAAATTTTGGTATTAGGAGATCATGAGAATTTGTCTTAAGTCATCTTTATCTCATCCCTACCAAGAAAGGTATCATAGACCAATGCCTAATATGGACTTACAGATCCAGGGAGCCCAAAGGGAAGCAGTATGGAAAAAGGACAAGCCATCGCATTTCAGACAAGAAGTAGGAAATGCAAAATTTTTGCACTGAAGTGTCAGTTGAAACTTAAGGTTTGTTCTCCAACTTCAAACCAGGTCTCCAGCAACAAGCAACCGTCATTTCAGTTTCATGTTTGAAAATTTAATTCGATACGGAAAATGGTAAAGCTTTAAAAATGTTTAAAAAATAATATCCACCAGCTCCTTCCTGCACATACACTAATTTACCCTATGACATTTAATTTAGAATTAGGTTTGCAAGTATATCACTTTAAAGTTTGACTATTTTCTGTAATGCGGTTGCTTAGAAGATTTGTTTTGCAGCAGAATTCTTATTTCAAATAAAAATTTTCCTTAAAGCATGATATAAAAATCAGATAAAAACAGAATTGCTCTGCCTGATCTGGGGAGAAGGACGGGTAGTGAGTGGATCTGGAGGTGTTTCTCTGCCCTACCAGCCGCCAGTTTCCCTGCAGCCCTGAAGCACTTTCCGTTTTCTCTCTAGGCCCTTTCGACTCAAAGTGTGGTCCATGGATCAGTAGCAGCTTGGTAAAAATTCCAATTCTCAGGCATCAGAGCTTGCATTTAACAAGATCCCTAGGTAATTGGATGCTCTTGAAAATTTAGGAAACACTGCTTTCAAGTATATAAATCGCCTGGGAAGCGGATTCAAACACAGATTCTCAGGCATAGCAACAGGTCTGTGGTGGAGCATGACATTTTGCATGTTTAACAAGCTCCCGGGTGAGACTGATACTATTGGTACTTGGACTATGACACATTGAGTAGCAAGAGGCTAGGGCAGTGGTTCTCCGATGTTGGCATGTGTGAGAGTCATCTGGAGGTC